CGGCTCAATACTTTGCTTGCGAATGGCGAGGTGATCCAATTATATTTTCTATAGCTTTTAAATTGTGTATGAATATATTTGAAGCATTTACACTAGTGAATTAAAATGACTGAATCAATTATATGTTAGTAAGAAGTGCAGATTGATTCATTTGATAAAAACTAAATATGTAAGCGCTGAAAAATTGATTTTGATGTTATTTTCAGATACCAGGTTTGTTTGATGGCGATGAATATACTACACTAATGAGTCAGATTAAGGAAGATGCTCAACGTCAGGGTCTTATGCTTGATTCGCCAGATGAATTATATAAATGGTTTACGACCCAAGTAAATTTTGTTACTTATTTGTTTTCTGTCCTTTGCTCAAAATTCAGCTGTCTAGAGTCGTTTAAGGTGATGCGAAATCTCCATGTTGTCTTTACAATGAATCCATCTGGTGAAGGTCTTCGAGAACGAGCATCAACTTCTCCTGCTTTGTTCAACAGATGTGTGCTGAACTGGTTTGGAGATTGGACGGATTCTGCACTTTATCAGGTTTTTTTTTTGAAGATAAATCCAGATTCAATAATTGAGTTTAACCATTTTTTACATAATCATTTCAACAAATTGAACAAAAAGTTCGTTACATAACAAGTCTAGGTTGGTATGGAATTGACTAATACGCTCGATATGGATCGTTCTGATTACCAAGCACCTTTAACTCTTCCAGTAGTTTGTGACTTGCTTCCTTCACCTGCGCTGTATCGTCACGCTGTTATCAACACTTTCGTTCTTGTTCACAATTCTGTGAGAAAAGTTAGGATTCACCTAATCGAAATGCTTTTGAATATGTCTTTGCAAAAATTGTAGCAGCTTTGATGAATTAATTTTTAGAAAATGATCTCAACAGCTATGCGATTGGAATTTGCGGTGTTTTCTAACATACTTTTCAGTTGAATGAAAGTGAAACAAAGCGTGGTCATAGAATAATGGCTTTAACTCCAAGGCATTTTCTGGATTTCATCAAGCATTACATCAACTTATTCCATGAAAAACGGCGGGATTTAGAGGAAGAAAAACTGCATTTGAATATAGGTTTAAACAAGGTTATTGTTTTGCAAAATTCTAAAGTTTTCAAATTGGTTTCCTTGCGCTTTGTCACGAAATTTCATAAACAGGTTTTTAGATCAGAGAAACCGAGGAACAAGTTTTGGAATTGCAGAAGTCCTTAACGCTAAAGAGCAGGGAATTAGAAGCGAAAAAAGCTGCAGCTAATGCTAAACTGAAAGTAATTTTACTGCTTGCTTTTTGATCATTTATATAATTTTTGTTTATGCTCTTCGATTTCATTATTAAAGGACATGCATATCTTCAGGAAATGCTCTCCGATCAGCAGCGCGCAGAGAAAGAAAAGCTAGCGAGCGAGCAACTTCAGAAGGAGCTTGCTGAGTCACTTATTGAGATCGAGAAAAAACGTACGGAAGTTCAGAAGGATTTAGCACAAGTGAGGAGAAATATTTACAGTTCTAGAAAATTTTTTGATAATTTATAAGGTATGGAAATGGTAAATTATCATCTACTTTTGCGAGTTATTTTTTCTTAGGTGGAACCAGCTGTAGATGAGGCAAAACAAGCAGTAAAAGGTATTCGAAAATCTCAGCTTGTCGAAGTTCGGTCAATGGCTTCACCACCTCAGCCTGTGAGACTAGCTTTGGAATCAATATGTTTGCTGCTTGGAGAAGTTCGTTTTTCAATATTTGTTTACTTTCTACGATTATCATTTCTTCGTTATTTTTCATTTAGAATGTAAGCACGGATTGGAAAGCCATTCGAGGTGTTATGGTTAAAGATGATTTCATGCCAAGAATCCTTAATTTCGATACAGACAGCATTTCCCCTGAAACTTTAAGAATGATGGAGAAGTACATCCGTAATCCTGACTGGGACTTCGAAAAGGTTTCTTTAATTGTATTTCAACATAGTTTTGGAGAATTGATTGATTCACAAACTAGAAGGATTACTGCCCATACCTTCAGGTGAATCGAGCATCATCAGCTTGTGGTCCAATGATCAAGTGGATGAAGGCACAACTTCTATATTCAGATATGTTACGGAAAGTAGAACCGTTGAGAAATGAATTAGAACGGTTAGAAAAAGATGCAAAAATTAAAACAACCAAGGGGGAAGATTTGAAAAAAACAATTGCAAAATTGGAACAGAGTATTGCTGCATATAAAGAGGAATATGCTCAACTGATTGGTCAAGCTGAAGCTATCAAAGCAGATTTAGCAACTGTGAAAGAGAAGGTCTAATTTATATTTTGGTTCATTATCATTCTTATATATCAGTGTATTCCACTTTTTTTTTTTACTGAATTGGTAATCTTGTTGTTGGGGTCTGTGTTTTAAACTGCTTTTAGTTTTTAATTTGATAATAAATTTCATTTGTATATCTAGATGTTTTTCCATTTAGGTCGGTCGAAGTACTCAGCTTTTAAAAAGCTTAGGTTCTGAAAGAGATCGTTGGAATGGCAGTTGTGATGGCTTTAGCCAACAAATGGACTCTCTGATTGGTGATGCGTTGCTGAGTGCTGCATTTTTAGCTTATTCTGGGTAGTTTTCTTAACACTGAATTTCTTACATTGATGTTTTTAAAATATTTCTGTATACAAAAGAAATTTAGTTACTACGATCAGCAATTACGTGATCTTTTATTCCATCGTTGGACTGCCTTCGTTGAGCAAGCAGAAATAAAGCATCGCTTAGATTTGGCTCGCGTAGAATATCTTTCATCGGTCGATGAGCGTTTGGAATGGAATAAAAATGGCTTGCCGGTTGATGAACTTTGCGCTGAGAATGCAATTATGCTTCATAGGTATTAATACAGAAATGAAATTTCAGTCTCATGAGACGTAACGAGTAACACCATGTTTATAGTATTTAAAATTGACCGTTTTACAGATTTAACCGTTATCCATTAATTATTGATCCATCGGGTCAGGCAATCAGTTACTTGATGAAACAATTTGCTGGAAAAAACATCTCAAAAACAAGTTTTCTAGACGATTCTTTCAGGTAATGGTATTTCATTTATTAATGATCAGGTTATATGTTGCAATTATTATAAACTCATTGATCTCACTTTTACAAGTTAACCACTCAAAATGTTTTATGAATTTTTGATTTATCATTGGGAGTAACAAGATTTTTTAGAATCTCTAAATTTGTCATGAAGTCGGTATTGCCTTTATTTTTAAAAAAATATATCCATTAAAGTCGTTTAATGGATGTATTTTTTGTTTTCATATTCTGACTTTACTAATACTTTAATATTTTGACGGTAGAGATAGTTTAGGAAGAATTTGGAATCCGCACTGCGATTTGGCAATTCTCTTCTTGTTCAGGATGTCGAAAGTTATGATCCAATCTTAAATCCTGTTTTGAATCGTGAAGTGAAAAGAACAGGTGGTCGAATTTTAATCAGACTGGGTGATCAGGATATTGATCTCTCCCCGTCATTTCAAATATTTCTGATCACACGGGATGCTTCGGTACGTCTGATTTTATTTCGGGTTTTGTGATTCGTATCAAAAGTTTTTTTAGCATCCTTTTTTAAGGTTGAATTTTCACCGGATGTTTGTTCAAGAGTAACATTTGTCAACTTCACAGTGACGCGTGCTTCACTTGAAATGCAGTGTTTGAATCAAGTGCTAAGAAGTGAACGTCCAGATGTTGACGAAAAGCGCAACGACTTATTGAAGTTGCAAGGGGAGTTTGCTGTAAGATTAAGGCACCTGGAAAAAGTAAGTTGTGGTTGGAATAATTGGTGTGCAGTTATAGTTTCTTGTTTGCAACAAATTTATGTGTTAGTAATGTTTGTTGAACTTATCGCTTAATCTCATATAATAATAATTGAGCGTTTGTTTTCAGGCTTTACTGACAGCACTTAATGAAAGTAAAGGAAAAATACTGGATGATGACTCAGTAATATCAACTCTTGAAAAATTAAAAAATGAAGCTGCGGAAGTTGGCCGCAAGGCGGCAGAGACTGATAAAGTGATGGCAGAGGTGAGCTGTAGTGGTGATTTAATTACTTGTTCATATGAATTGGCTAACAATTCTTTTCAACTTATCAAATCAAGTTGACATCGCATTGGGATTAATCTTCTTTTGTGCATTAGTGAATCTGGCGTTTGGTCGTATTCTGGCATTTTCACTTCACTCGTCCCGCGCTCAGTTCTGCAGTGTTGGTTTCTGTTGCTTTGTCCTACGGTCTTGATCGAATGAGATGCTTTCAAATGTCTTTTTGAGTACTGTCGATTAAATGTATGCCTTGACATGATCAGATACACTGATTTCCTCCGCGTAACGTTTATGGAAGTTTGTCACTATCCCATCCCAATTCATCACATACGGGATTATTTTCGTTCTGCATTTAATCTTTGCTCCAAGTTTATTAACCAGTGAGTCATACCTTCGCTTCTTCTTGGTCTCGACTGTTATCAGCTTGTCCTAACCAGTGATGGCAGCCTCCATCAGAAGTAGTTTGTGTCACTTATAGTATACAGGATGACCGGCCGATTCACTCTTGTTCTAACTGCAGTTCTCACTCCGTTTCGACCTTAATTTCCACGTTCTCATTAGCGACGATTCGTGAATGGAATGGCTCCGTATGCGTGGGAATGCTTTCACATTTTACTATCTACAGTGTCCTAAATTAATTCATCGCAGGACCTCATTGTATCTTCTAGTGTATTCGTAATATAACATTTTTTCACACTGCGTTGCTAGATGGTCCGCCGTCTTGACGCTTTTCTGCGATTTGGGCGCATAATTTTTTTCTCAGCCTCAAACATATTTTCATCTTGGAGGTGACAGTATCGTGCTTCATCTATGAGGTAATATGTCTAAATCGTAGCCACATTGATGAATCTGACATTGAGGCTAGCTCATTTCTGCGTATCTTGTATAGCTTTTGCATTTTCTTCTCTAATTCGCTATATAGGAGTGCTTCTGAGCTGCTTATACGTTTTTGACGGTTAGATTTTCTATAAGGTTGTATTTAGTCTGGAAATAGAAGCATAGTAGGTCTTTTTCCTGCCTCAAAATTGCCGCCTTCCTGATAGATATTAGGTGCACTTTCTGTAAGTACGTTATGAAGTTGCGGAAACATAAGTTCACTTCTTC